CCATAGTATTAAACTTGTAAACACTTATATGAGATTCATAAATAATAAAAATATGAACAAAAAATGTATGTACAACGAATATATTAATTTATAGTTATCTCATACCGCTATCTAGAAAAACATCTTTCATTGCATCAAACTTGCTAAAAATTAAATGAGATCCATAAATAAAAAATTTTGAACAAAAGATGATCGCATTACATTTGAATTTTAAAAACTTATATGGAATACATATAAATCAAATCTAAACAAAAAGCGTAAGTACACCAAATATATTAATTTAAAGTTATTTCATAAAACTATCTTAAATTTTCTTCTCCACCTATATCAACTTACAAACACTTATATAGGAGCTAAAAATAATGAAGTACTGAATAAAAACTTAACGTAGGTAGAACAAATTAAGTAATTTAAAGTTATCTCATTCTAGTGTTTAAAAACATCAAACTTAAATGTGATCCATATAAAAATCTGACCGAAAAATGATCCCACAACATTAGACTTACAAACACTTAAATGAGACGTATAAATAATGAAATTTGAATAAAAATATATATATACATCGAGTATATTAATTTAAAGTTATTTCATATTATTTCTATTTTTTTTTGTCTCCCTTTACATCAAATTTACATAAACTTGCATGGGATTCATAAATAATAAAATCTAAATAAAAAATATTTGGTTACATCAGACTTACAAACATGTGTATGGAATTCATAAATAACAAAATCTGAACAAAAAACGTATGTGCAATGAATAAATTAATTTAAAGTTATCTCATACCAGTTTCTAAAAACATTAAACTTAAATGAGATCCATATAAAATCTAAACAAAAGATGATCCCATAATATCAAACTTATAAACACTTATATGAGATTCATAAAGAAAATATGAACAAAAAATGTATGGACAACAAATATATTAATTTATAGTTGTCTCATATCATTGTCTAAGAACTTCATTTATCGTAACATCAAACTTACTAAAACTTAAATAAGATCTATAAATAATGAAATTTGAACAAAAAAAATGTAACGATCCTATTGCATCGCACTCTTAAACACTTATATGGGATTCATATATACTGAAATATGAACAAAAAATGCAAGTATTTAAAGAAGTCTCATAAACTATCTAATTTTTCTTCTTGAATTACACTAATATGAGATCTGTAAATAACGAAGTCTAGATAAAAGACTTATATATTTAATTTTAATTTTAATATACAAAGACTATATTTATTTAAAGCTATTTAATACTATTGTCTATTTTTTTTATCTCCCTTTACATCAAATTTACATAAACTTGCATGGGATTCATAAATAATAAAATATAAACAAAAAAACTATTATGTTACATCGGACTTACAAACACATATATGGAATTCATAAATAATAAAATCTGAACAAAAAAACGTATGTACAATGAATAAATTAGTTTAAAATTATCTCATAGGAGTTTCTAAAAAATATTAAACTTAAATGAGATCCATATAAAATCTAAACAAAAAATGATCCCATAATATCAAACTTACAACACTTATATGAGATTCATAAATAATGAAAATATGAACAAAAAATTTATGGACAATGAATATATTGATTCATATTTATCTCATACCACTGTCTAAAAAAATCTCTCATTACATTAAACTTACTAAAAATTAAATGAGATCCATAAATAAATAAAAATTGAACAAAAGACGATTGTGTTACATTTGAATTTTAAACACTTATATGGAATACATGTATAATGAAATCTAAACAAAAAAAAAAAAAAAAACATAAGTACAATGAATATATTAATTTAAAGTTATCTCATAAACTATCTTAAGTTTTCTTTAACAGTTACATCAAACTTACAAACACTTATATAGGATCTAAAAATAATAAAGTTTGAATAAAAAATATATTTAGAATGAATAAAGCAATTTAGAGTTATCTCATTCTAGTGTTTAAAAATATCAAACTTAAATGTGATCCATATAAAAATATGACAAAAAAAAAAAAAAAAAATGATCCCACAACATTAGAATTACAACAGATACTTAAAGGAGACTTGTAAATAATGAAATTTGAATAATACACACACACTCACACACACACATATATATGAAGTTATTTCATGCTACTCGTCTAAATTTTTTTTGTCTCCCTTCACATCAAATTTACATAAACTTGCATGGGATTCATAAATAATAAAATCTAAACAAAAAACTATTTTGTTACATCAGACTTACAAACACATATATATGGAATTACATAAATAACAAAATCTAAACAAGAAAACATATGTACAATGAATAAATTAATTTAAAGTGATCTCATACCTTTTCTAAAACAATAAAACTTAAATGAGATCCATATAAAATCTAAACAAAAGATAATCCCACAATCCCATAATATAAAACTTACAAACACTTATATAAGATTCATAAATAATGAAAATATGAACAAAAAATGTATGGACAACGAATATATTAAATTATAGTTGCTTATATCATTATCTAAGAACTTCATTTATCATGACATCAAACTTATTAAAACTTAAATAAGATCTATACATGATGAAATTTGAACAAGAAAAAGTAACGATCCTATTGTATCGCACTCTTAAACACTTATATGGGATTTATATATACTGAAATATGAAAAAAAAAAAAAACACGTACAACAAATATATTAATTTAAAGAAGTCTCATAAAACTATCTAATTTTTTCTTCTCGAGTTGCTCTAATATGAGATCCATAAATAATGAATTCTAAATAAAAGACGTATATACAATAAAAATATTAATTTTTTAAAAATTCATCTCATATACGGTCTGAATGTTTCCTTGTTCTTTCTTTTTTTTTTTTTTTGTGAAGCACCTTTTTAATTAGTCTTGATTAACAATTTATTTAATATTATGACCTATTTTATTATAACATAGTTAAACTGAACAACTAATGTAATTAAATTTTATGATTGTAAAAGAAAGTGAGTGAATATATGAAAAATATTGAATATAAAAACAACTTTTCCTAAAATTTATATATTCAAGGTGCTAATCTGTCATCTATTGCTTATAAAAGGATAAGAGAATCACATTCGGATAATAAAAGGAAAATTTTATAACTATGCAACACAATATCTTGAATTCAAAATGACCTGCTTAATTAGATTTATAACATTAATTTGAATACAAATGGCCTTGCTCTTAAGATGGTATGCTGAGTATGAATTTTATATATCTCTGATTTCGTATTTAATTGATTTCTTTTATTGGTATAAATAAAATCTTATCTTTTCAAGGGATACATTGACATATTAAATGATGGCTGTACGTACTGTGTTTACAGTCGGTAACTCAGTATTGGTGGGTTTAAATACCCAATATATTTAAATACCAAAAAATACCCAATAAATTCAGAATATTATAAAAAGAAAAATATGCATATATATATATATATATATATATATATAATCTTAAAACTACCTACATATGCATAAATTAATATTTTGTAATTACATAAAATCATATATCAGGGTTTGATAGCATGTTTTACCTCTAGACTATTGGAATTGTAACAAAATAAGGTTTGGACTATCAATTTAATTAGTGTATTTTGTCCTCAAACATAATTTGATGGACATAATTTACCCAGAAAATAATAATTTGAGGACGAAAAAGATTAAATTGAGTCCAAGTCTTCTTATTTTTCTACAACTCCAAATAATTTGGGGTAAAATATTCCATTATATATATATATATATATACGTGATTATTTTTTTCAAAAAATTATCCATAATTAAATATCTAACACCCCCAACCTAGTACTTAAAAGGTTGAAAACATTATCATCATTAACCTACATTCGAAGTACAATAAATATCAGTTAATGAGACATTGTGACTTAATCTTATTCATAACATATAAAAAAATTCATACAATCAAATAAAATAATTTAACACCTCTCTAACAAATATTATAAGCAAACAAAATATTTTTCATGCATGTACAATATGCTCAAAATAATTATTTCATATAAAAATTACTATTCATGCATTGTAAAATTAATAAAATATTCATTGAGCATAAAAAAACTATTTTAACTACTCTGAATATTCTTTCAAGCCTTTTTGGATTGATTCATGCCTTTAAAACATTTCTCACATGTTTTTAATATTTAATTTTATTAAATTTTTATTTTAGCGGATACTGAGTATCATACTACTTGTGTATTTTTTTTCTTATAGTTTTTGAAAAAAAATGAGATGATAAATTAACCTTAGATATATATTATCTAATAAGCTTGATTATGTTATCACCAATGTTTATCTTATTGATCACGTCATGGCTGATCATAAGTTGTATCACTCCAATATATAATTAATTTGTTTGACATCAAATATTTTTATCTGTCTTATTAAATGAGGCTTAAAAAATATATAACCTGAGTAACCATAATTAGCAAAAATAGCACACAGGTTTTACTGCAGTTAAATGTATGAATAAGGAAACAAATAAGCAATTTTCAAAAACCACATCATTCCTAGATTATGCTCATTAATTTAAGATAATTAATGCTGCTTTGCCAATGCATGAATATACTCCCACCAACCCACCAATTTTAAAAATTACAATACCCCGGCCAGATTTCTTCATATCTCATCTCATAATTATCCTCATTACATTACATTATCAAAAAAAGAAAAAAATTATCCTCCTTAGATCACACCATTTCTTACTGTATAGACCAAGTTGCCCTTCGAATCAATAATTATTTTCTCATGCTCAGGCCTGAAAGTTGTTGAGAAATACTCATTTCCATGCCCATTAATTTGTGTATCTATATAAATATTTTTAAGGCTAATATAGGTATATGCCCCCATGTATCGTTTGTACTTACCAAATAAATTAAAATGTACAGCAAGGAATTAACAAAATGCACCGTTTTTTTTTCCTGTGTGGTTACGTATGAGCATCTCTTCAACCCTATATATAGAGGGCAGAATGTATGAGGAAAGATATACCAAAACCAAATTGGTTGTCTTGCTTAGCATTTTCACTGCCCCACCAAGCATGACTAGAAAGAAGGTGAAGCTTGCTTATATCTCTAATGATTCTGCAAGAAAAGCCACCTTCAAGAAAAGGAAGAAGGGCCTAATGAAGAAGGTGAGCGAGCTAAGCACCCTCTGTGGGATTGATGCTTGTGCTATCGTTTACAGTCCATATGAATCTCAACCTGAGGTTTGGCCCTCTCCTTTAGGGGTCCAAAGAGTGCTGTCTAAGTTCAAAACCATGCCAGAAATGGAGCAAAGCAAGAAAATGGTGAATCAAGAGGGTTTCTTGAGGCAAAGGATCACCAAAGCCAGTGAACAACTCAAGAAACAGCGGAAGGACAACCGTGAGAAGGAGGTTACCCAAGCCATGTTCCAATGCTTGACTGGAAAAATTAACTTGGGTAGCCTACATTTGATGGACTTGAATGACCTTGGATGGATGATCGACCGTAGCGTGAAGGACATCAACAAGAGGGTTGAAACCCTAAACAATGGGAGTGGTAGTGGCATCTCCCAATTGCCACTAGTTGCAACCCCTGGGGCTGGACCTAGCAGCGTGGGAGAGCTAGCAGGAGAGTCATCCCAGATGGCTACCAATAATATGGAGGTTAATGTGGATTCCATGCAGAGACAGCAATGGTTCATGGACATGATGACCCCTCAACCAGCTCAAGAGCCGCCTGTGGGGTTTGCTGGGGATGACATGATGCTGCCTTTTGGGGATAACAACCAGAATGGACTTTGGCCTAATTCGTTTTTCCCTTGAAGTGAAGAATGAATTTGCTTGCTTATTTATGTAATGTTTTTAATTTCCTGAGTTTTTTTAGCTATTGTTTCGACACAGACACAGTACTACGTACATCGTAGTATATGATGTATTTCGATTGCTTGTTCTTATGAGTTCTCTGATGTATTTCGATTGCTTGTTTTTATGTGTTCTCTGATTTAATTTCAAATATTTGTCCTTTCATTTAATCCCGATTCATGAAACAAATATTTTCATTGTTTGACATGAAGCAGAATAATCCAATCAAACCATTTCTAACTTCAATATAGATGATAAAAAAATCAGACAAATTTCATTATTTATTTATTTTTTTATGAAAATCAATTTTTATTAAGGAGAAAAAAGCCAACAAGATCAGACAAATTTCATAAATTTTAACACTGCATTTTCCCATTTGAAACAAATAATTTCTCACCAAATATGAACTAAAGATTTTTTAGGGGCCTTAATTTTATGTGTAGCCAAACTAATTATGCATATATATATATAATTTGAAAATACAAAAAAATATTGATCAAATGCATCGTGTTCTTATAGGATCCATATTGCAGTCCTAATTCATTCCTTGCAACAAAACAATTAATTGGACTCTTTTTTGAACATCTTGCATTTGCCTTAGTTTGTTGTATAAAAAACATTTGATCCCTAACTAGACAAACACTGAAGAGATCTAGAAAAGAATTTAGGAGGAAAAATATGTATCTATCAAAATGAACCTCTTCGCTAATTAATCTGTAGGATCAGTACAAAAAAAGTCCTGCCTGCTCTCTTTCTAATTGTTAGATCATGATATAGAAAAGAATAAAGAAAAACGAAAGAGGAAGAAGAAGGATCAATATATGATGAGCACATCTGAGCAGGCAAGCTTAACTAATTAATACTCATATATGGTAATTATGGTTGAGATTTAGAAGATGTTGACAGTGAGGAAAACAAAAACAGTTCATATCCAGGCATTACTGATTCTATTAGAGTATCAAATTACACATCTCAAGGATTTTATGCCAATAAATATGATCTTAGACTATAGAGTATCCTTACAATCAATTTCGATCATTCTGTTAATTTTCCGAGTTATCGAGACTTAAACGGTCTATTTTTACCTTACAAGACGAGGATTCTTTTTAAAGTCTTGATATAACTTTGATAATTAGCCGAATAATACCAATGAAGAAATAGGATTGTACCCTTAATTTGATGGTCATTGCTATTCCTTCCTTGTTCTTGGCCATCGCTTTTTGTTTTTTTTTCAGGTTTGATGATTATATATATAAATCCATCACCATGCGGTGCAGAAATTTATTTATTCTTTTGATTCTATGGGACTTGAAATTTAAATGATTGGACATTTTGGAGTTTCTATTGAAAGGTTGATTAAATATTTCTAACAAAATTGAATAGCAGGAGATAAATTGAAGGGGAAATTTTTTACGTAATGATATATATATATTTTGCTCGTTGCTAAACCATTTTCACAAAGAAAAAAACGTCATGCAGGCATTCGAAATGGACGATTCAATTGATATATTGTTAGATTAATTAGTAGATTTATAATTGATTAACGTTCCATCATCATATTATGAAATTAATCCATTTTCATGAAGAAGAAAAACATCATGCATCATTTGAAATGCACAATTCAATCGATATGTTGTCCGATTAATTAGTAGACCTATAATTACTTAATGTTGCATGATCGTATTAATCCATTTTCATGGAGGAGAAGAAGCTCATCCATGCATTCAAAATGCACGATTCAATTGTTATGTTGTTTGATTAATTAGTGGATCTATAATTTTTTAGCGTTGATCATATTATGAAATTAATCTAGTTTCATGAAGGAGAAAAACGCCATGCATGCATTTGAAATGCACGATTCGATCGATACATTGTCCGATAATTACATGCACGATTCAATCGATGCATTGTCGATTAATTAGTAGATCTATAATTGCTTGACATTGCATGATCATATTAAGAAATTAATCTAGTTTCACGAAGGAGAAAAACATCATGCATGCATTCAAAATGCACTATTCAATCGATACATTGTTCGATTAGTTAGCGGATCTATAACTACTTAACGTTGCATGATCCTATTATGAAATTAATCCATTTTCATGAAGGAGAAAATGGTCATGCATGCATTCAAAATGCATAATTCAATCGATATGTTGTTTGATTAATTAGTGGGTCTATAATTACTTAACGTTGATCTTATTGTGAAATTAATCTAGTTTCTCGAAAAAGAAAAACTTCATGCATGCATTTGAAATGCATGATTCGATCGATACGTTGGTAGATTAATTAGTAGATCTATAATTACTTAACGTTGCATGATCATATTAAGAATTAATCTAGTTTCACAAAGGAGAAAAATATCATGCATCCATTCAAAACGCACTATTCAATCAATACGTTGCACGATTAATTAGCAGATCCGTAACTACTTAACGTTGCATGATCCTGTTATGAAATTAATCCATTTTCATGAAGGAGAAGAAGGTCATGCATGCATTCAAAATGCATGATTCAATCGATATGTTGTTCGATTAATTAGTGGATTTATAATTACTTAACATTGATCATATTGTGAAATTAATTTAGTTTCACGAAGAACAAAAACTTCATGTGTGCATTCGAAATGCACTATTCAATCGATATGTTGTCGGATTAATCGGTAGATCTATAATTACTCAATGTTGCATGATCATATTAAGAAATAGATCTATAATTACTTAACATTGCATGATCATATTAAGAAATTAATCTAGTTTCATGAAGGAGAAAAACGTCATGCATACGTATATTCGAAATGCATGATTCGATCAATACATTGTCCGATGAATTAGCAAATCTATAATTACATAACATTGCATGATACTATTATGAAATTAATCTATTTTCATGAAGGACAAGAGGGTCATACATGTATCGAATCGCATTGTTCAACTAATACGTTATTCGATTAATTAGCATATCTAATCTATAATTACTTAACGTTGAATGATCATTTTATGCAATTAATAATGAACCAAACACATAATTAAGATAAGCTTATTGTTTCCATATTATGTGGAAATGTCATTGAATAGCTACGGGAACAAGACAATCGACCAAATTTATAAATTCTTTACATATCCTGTTATAGATCTTAAAATTAATTAATTAAAATGTTTTTTTATTTTCTTTTAAATTTTTTTAGGCACTCGAAGCATAGAAGAGATGCTCAAGTTTCAGAATGACATTTCTTTCTTCACCCATTGTCCTCACATAAAAAAAAAAAATCACTTGTGGATATGCATATATAATAGGTTTAACCCTATATTTTTTTAGCTTGATTGAAACCCTTTACTCTTTAAAATTTTTTGTTTCGGACCCTCCATTATGATGCCATTAAAAGCAACCTATCGGTAATTGACACGTGGCATCGATAGTTCTAAATAACAATTTTTTCGTCTCAATGAAAAAAAAATGATTTCAAAAAATTAACGAGTAAAATAATTCATAAAATTAAAAGAAGAGTGGAAAATACCGAGTTCACCCCACCCGATTATTTCTCCATTTTATTATTTTCTCTTCGGAAAAAACCATTCTCTCTCTCGTCATGATCTCTCTTTCTCTATCTCCCTAAAAAATCCCCAAAATCTCTTAAACACAAACCATAATATCCTCGCAATTTTGTCGTTATTTCCATCGCTATTTAGCGACTCGGTACCATTAATCGGTAATTATCATCTCTATTTCATCACTAATTTCACCGCTATTTTTATTTATTTTATTTTATTTTATGAATTATTATTTATTAGTAATTGTAACAACAAAAAATAAACAAAACTTTATTAAAACATGCTATATTATTAAATAAAATTAAAATTATATTAATTACAATAAAATAAATATATAAATGCGTTAAAAATGTACGGAATATTTAAACCCTTTTTTTCAAAAAAAATTATCCCTCATTATTATAATTTTCCGTATCATCTTTTGATTGTGGGTTTTTTAGAGGAACGACTAACTCGTTGGGTTGTGGGAGGGTCAACGGGAGGGATGGGAGGCGATTGGAGATTTTCTAACAACCCAAACACTATAAGAAAACCGATAATTAGCGACAAAAGTTAGCTACAAATTTAATCCGTCGTCATTTACCAATGTCATAGTGACTAATTAGCAAAGAAACCAAAAACAAATCATATAACGACGTATTAGCGATAGTTTTGAGACAAAAAATATAAGGACGCAAGACATTTTGGTGCGATTGAATAATCAATGATGGATTAGTGACTACGTTGTGAAAGGAATTGGTGAACGAAACCAAATTTTGTCACTAAAATTAGCATTGGGGCAAGTGACGGTGCACATATGTCGCTATTCATCGACGGACACCATACCGTCAATAATTAACAAAACATGTAAAATTTTGTAAACAAAATCAATGGTTGTTGAAATTTAAATCGATGACGAATATCACTCTTCATCACTAATTAGCGATCGCTATTTTATAGCAAATGGTGACGAGTTTCTCACGTCCGTTGGATAGTTCAAGGGAATGTTTGAAATTCAAAACGACAACGAGACACTTTCATCCTTCGTTAATTATCGACGGATTAGCGATCGAATATAATTTCGTCATAAATTTTATTAAATTTCTCAAATTTTTTGAATAGTTTGAACGGACATTTGAAATTCAAAATAGCGTTAGACCATTACATTCATCGTTAATTATCGATGAATTAGAGATAGAAACACGTCCATCACTAATTTTAAACCCTATACCTTCCGACCTCTTTCTCTTCCTCCCCTATTTCTCCTTTTTTCCTCTCCTCCACCACTTCGCCACCCCTAATGACCCCCAACCACTGCCTATGCCACCCCACTGCCTCCCCAACCCACTAAGTCTTGTAAGGCATAACTTTTTTCTCAAGATCCATCACCGACCTCTCTCTTTTCCCTCTTCTCTTTTGGTAATATTTTCT